ATTAAAATTATTTTAGGGGATGGTCAAAATTCAAAACACAATTCTAAATTGTTTTTCGTCTTAATTTTAAACTTATGTCCTTTGACCATTTTTTGCAAGCAGAAATTTGATTTCCAAATTTTATTTTTCGAATTTTCACCCTACTTGGAAACATTAAAATTATTTTAGGGGGTTGTCAAACGGCGAAACCTAATTTTAAACCTTTATGGATAATTATTATGTCTTTATGTCGTTTGACTATTTTTTGAACTAGAAATTGGATTGGGAAATATTCTCTTTGAATTTTTAACCCCTCTGGAGTCTTTTGAGATATTTTAGTGATCAAAAAGCATTACATCATTTTAAACGTTTTTGGATCATATTGTCTTTCTGACCATTGATCTATCGTTTAAAGTTGAAATGCATCCCAGAATTCTTATTTTTCTATAATTTACCCCATTTAAATTATTTTAGGGGTTGTTGAAAAATCTAAGGGGTGGTCAAACATGGTCAAAAGTTGGTTAACCTTATGGTGCAGTCAGTTTTAAAAAATAATAATTTCGGGGGGCCAGCGGGCACTCGGTCATTAATATTTTTTTAAATATTTTGGTTTCTGAGGGTGGTCAAAAAAAGTTAGTGGGTGGTCAAACATGGTCAATAGGTGGTCAAACGTATGCCGCTTTTAAAACTAAAATTTTCAAATTTCGGGGGGCCAGCTTCACAGAGCTGCAGTAGTTCACCAAATCATGTTTCAAACAGCTTACTATACACGTCTTGATGGTAATCAGCCGAACAAGACTTAATGTTTTTAGCTGACAATAACAAGCAATTCTTCACAAAACCATCTGTATTTCCAGCATTTAAAATAATTATTCTTTTCCCTCTGCTCACAGGTGCATCTAAAGGACAATTAATAGTTTTGTCACTCCATCCTTTTTTTACAACATCATGGGTGTCATACCACGTCTCGTCCAAATACACAATGTTTTTTCTATTTTAGCAATGCTTGGAAATTGTATTAAAATAATCGTATCTCCAGTTAATTATCCGTTGAGATTCCATATTTCTTTACCGTTTATCGAGTTTTCTGTATCGGAAACCTAAAGAATTTAAAACCTTGCGAATGGCGCTACAACTTTTATATGGGAAGCCTGGAATGTCCTTTATTTCTTTTAAAATGTCATTGAAACATTGTACAATATTGGCGCTATACAATTGGTATATTTTTTTTCTAACAAGTTTTTTCAAAGCATTGTTCATTTTTACTAAAGATAGTTGTACTGGTGTCACAATTACTTTTCTAGAAATCATTCTTCTAATGCTTCTTATGGAAACTTTTGTTAATTCTCGTATTCTGATAATTACCCCATAATTGGATTCATTTTTCTCTTTTAATAATTGAGAATATATATTTAAAATTATTCATTGAGCACTCACATCAATTCTTTTGTCAAAGTTTTCATTATGGTTTACCTCTTCTTGGTCACTTTCGGAAGCAACTGATTCGGTAGCTATAAAAAATACACTTTAATTACTCTAAGATTTCTGAAATAATTTTATCAAATATTAACATAAACGAGCTCTATACATTTCCATTATGTATTTATTTACTTACCCTCCAAGTCAGTGTCATTATTTACTGCTTGAACCTCCAAATGATTAATTTCTTCAGTCTCAAATGGTCTCCAAAATGTCATAATTTAATTTTTAAAAACAATATTTGTACGCTGAAAGTACGAGAAAAAACTCCCAAGTACTAACCTGGAAGTCCGCGTGGAGTTGACTGGCACTTGGTTAAACGATATGAGTTGAACAAACAACGAATCACGACTGGACTGAAGGTAGCCTGAGCGAATGAAATATCGCAATCTAACAGTGACGTAATATAAAGGCGGGGTAAACGTCGGTGTTTGAGTAAATCATCAGAGATTTTGAGCGAGAAAATATAATACTGAAATATTTTTGTGAAAAACGGAGAAATAAAAATAGTCGATACTATAAGCGCTGGTAATGTTCGATTATCAATTCTGGTGAGACCGCAAACATTCTAGAAGCACCTCCGCCATTTATTAAAATATGCGTTTACCAAATTCGTCACCGTTCTCCTAGATTCTATGAATGATTTACTACTTCTACCCACAAACATAGCACTGGGACATTAACTTATTTCTTTTAATATTTTTAACTGACCAAAATAATAACGAGTAAGTGCTCTTTTATTATCAACCGACTTCAAAAAAGGAGGAGGTTATCAATTCGTCGCGATATTTTTTGACAATCTGGCGATTTAATTCTCCGGGTTTTGGAACTGCATCAGCCCCTTAAGGGCTGCATGATCGGTACGGATTAAAAATATCCTTCCATATAGGTATTAGTAGAAGTGTTCCACGCACTTCACAATTGCCAGGAGTTTTCTTCTCATGACGCAGTAGTTTCGTTCATGTTTCTTTGAAACATATGACACATCCTCCTGAACTTCGGCTTTTTTATCTTACTTCCTATCTTAATTATTAATTGTAAAATTAGTTTATTTTTATTATTATGGATGTAGAAAAAATAATTATAATTAATATAATTATTATCAATAATAATATTAAATAAAACATCTGAGAATTTCCATTTATAAGATGTTACAAAAAGAATATTTAGAGAGCTGGGATATTTTTCTTAATGAAAATAGTCAGGTTTAATCCATCTGGCGGTAAAATACCCTGGCAGCAAGGAAGAAGCCAAACTCGAAAACAGTATTTTCTACATACACTTTTTTAAGACGTCATTGTCGAGGCGTTTATCGCTGCATGTTCTACAAGGTAAGAATAAACGGAATATTTTTAATTTTGCTTTTCGCAAATAACACACCTAAAAGTAATACCAATAATAAGAACTAAATACAAATACTATCGAACGCAAAAACCAAATGATATTTTCATATGTGAAATTGGATTTCAGGTTAGGAAACATAAGAAAAACAAATTTTGATTATATTTTGAGAAAATAGGATTTGCGCATGAGTAATAGAGATCATCAATAACGGGATAGGTCTATTTCAAAAACTCCAAATATCATGACTCTGTTTGTGAAGGGTGTTAAAAAATTCCTTACAAAAATCAGGGCAGTAGGTTTTAACTTATATGTATAGCTTACACGATCTACTTGACTCACTAGCCGGGTTGACAAAGTGACGCCTATGCCATGTAGGGCACCGGTGATCAATAATGCAGCGCCGCCACCCAAAAATCAAAATTGCGGCGTTATAGAGAATGATGTCTTAATATTTAAAATACTACCATTCATTAAATGATTTTTACTAATCAAAAATGAAAATAACCCTGGACGCAATTTTTCTTGAAAATCAGCTTGTCAGTTAACGATTCCAATTACATCATATTATTAATAATTTTTGATTTTGTGTTTTAGGCTTTATGAGTACCGAAGATAACGAAGTATCTGGGAATAACGGTTTAAAAGATCAAGTAATGGCGTTGAAATGGATAAAGAATAACATTAAATATTTCGGAGGAAATCCAGAGTCTATTACACTGACTGGAATATCAGCGGGTGGAGCTAGCGTTCATTATCATTATCTATCACCTTTATCTAGAGGTAATTTATTTAAATCTTGTAAATTGGCATGTAAAGTTTCAGTTTTTATAATTTTCTAAACAGAGTTAATTTTCTTCTTTACCTGTTGTTTCGTAATTTTACTCTTTCGATCACTCATTAACCAACCATTCCTGCATTTGATTGTTTTTAATAGGCTATAATAACGCATCGGAAATGTCAGTGTTATTTACGTCGAGACAATTAATAATTATTGTGTTTATTTTAACAAGAAAACATTAATATATCCTTTGAATTGGCATTTAGAAGAAAATTGGAATTAAAAAACCATTTTTGATCAAATTTCCCTATAGAAAATTCACCCTATAGAATAACTGCACATTGTTACAACGGTATAAAATATGTTTAAATAATTTGTGTTTTCATCTTGCTATGCGTAAATATGAAGACTAGATATAAGGAGGCAAATCGGCAATGATCAAATTTCAAATTTCTAGGGAAGTTTAAAAACAATTATGAAACAGTGGTGCAAGGATCATTCAATGTCTATCAATACCAAAAATACACAATTGGTCCTTTTCAGAAAGAAAAGGATAAAAATACATTTAAAACCTCCAGAGATCCTAAACACAAAATAAAACTTTGCAACAAAGGTAAAGTATCTAGGTAGTACCTTTGACAGCAGGTTAACATGGAACTCACACTTAGAAAACAAAAGAGCATGCATTGCTTATGAACAACCGTGGGGCGCACCTGCGGTTTCTCCCCCAGTGTCGTCACATGGACTTACATGGCCATCGTAAGACCTATTCTAATACAATGCAGTTATCTGGATACCGAAAATCCAAAAATTGACAGTTGACCGCAAACTAGAACAAATTGAAATAACAGCATGTCTCAACATAACAGAAACTATGAGAACCTCACTAATCAGGGCCATGGATGTCGTTATTAATCTCACTTTTCTTGATATTTACATCAAGGAGGTTGATCTGATGAGAATAACATGCCTCTGCAAGGTTGGAATAGAACCTGATGTACGATCTGGTGAGGCGAAACGTCGCTTTAGGCAAAAAGGCGCTCGATACGCTCCTGCTGCTTCAAGCAAACATGAACTTCATCTCACCGAGATATATCTTCTATAATCCATATGACGTTATAACAAAACAAATAGAAGAGCAGGAAGTGGTAGGTACGATTGATATCTATACGGACGGTTCTAAAACAAAATAAGGGGTCAGGGCATGGAATATACTCAACGTAAAATGGGCTGGGAACAATAGTGTCAATGTAGTTCAAACTGAGCTCGCAGACATTCTCATAGCAATAAAAGAAATCACTAGAAACAATATAACTGGTGGGAACAAGCTCATCTATACAGATAGCAGATAATCATTACTTACACTGAACAGACTACGAGTTTACTCAGGGTTAGTACTAGAATGTCAAGCTTTGGCAAGAATATCCATTAACAATGTGGTCACCTTAAGATGAATCAAAGGTCACGCCACCTCGAAAGGTAACCTTCTTGCTGATTCACTAGCCAAGAAAGCAGCCAATCAAATACTTTTTGGACCTGGTCCTTCTATTGAACTGACAACATCGGTAGTGACAGACCTAATTAAAAAGCATTTCATTGTGAAATTCAAGGAAAGATGTGATAAAACAACAGTGAGCTTTTAAGTTATCTTGACAACTCTACAGCAAATAAATACTTGACTAATTTCTAATTATTTCTTAGATACAACTGCAATTTCCACAAAACGTTAATAATAATATACCAAACTTTTCTCTACATAAATTGACAGCTGCAGTTGAGGTTAAAACACCTCTTAAACACTGAGAAAAATTGGCAGTTTTTGTCCACGAATCGCCAATTTAGTTTAGCTGCTTAGGTAGGTATTCTCTGCTTCAGTGGTTTGTATTTTTGTTCCAACGTTTGTGGACGTTTTTAAATTAGCTGAATCTGCTTTCACAAATCCGGGATTCATGTTAAATACTTACAAATGATTCAAAAAGGGAAATATAATACAGAATTGTATAAATTAATTTTAGTTTCACACTGACATATACAAGGTGGCGCAAAATAAAGTACCCTATGGGATGTTGTCATGGTTTCGTTTGTTTGGTTTTTTCTGTCAGTTGCAAAGTAGATGCTTGGGAAATTCATTATGAATCGATATACGCCTCAAGAACGTGCCGAAATCGTAAATTTTTTTTATCAAAATAATTTGTTGATTATCAGAATTTTTCCTGGGCGCCTTATCTCGGAAAACGGCGATATTGCATATTCGCCAAGGTATCCCGATTGAACTGTTTCAGACTTTTGGTTATGGGGTAGTTATCTCAAAGATAGGGTATTTGTAAATAATTATCGAACATTAAAAGACAACATTCGGGAAGAAATTAACAGAATACCACCTGAAATGTTGGAGAAAGTTATGAAAAATGCTTTAAAAAGAGCTCATTATTGCATTAATGCTGGGGGTGGCTATTTGGTCGATATTGTTTTTAGTGTGTAACAAAACAAAGTTTTAGAGTTTAAATAAATATTTTTCATTATTTATAATATGACTGTGACTTTATTTTGCGCCACCTTATATGAAGTTACTGACATTAGGGTTATTAGGGAATATAAATGATATTTTAATTTTATTAAATGCGCGGGATACCGTCTAACTGGAATCAAGCGATTTAGGTTTGTTACCAATTTTACTACCTGACGAAGTAAAAAATAAGAGTTTTTATTATAGGTTATTATTTATTTAAAATACACATCGACAACTACAACATTTCTAAAATATTCTAAAATACGACGGTACCATTTTATTTTGTTGCAACACCACTTAATCATTATCGAGAATTGGAACATTAAATCAAAATTTTATAGGAGTTTTACATAACAGGCGGTTCAAACACAATCTGTGATTTTAAACAGCCGGCAATTATAAGGTATGGTGAACTTAAGAATTTTACCTGTGCCGCCCGGTTTTGTGGAATGTAACCATGGGCTACCCTTATTTTAATCTCTTTTAAGGCTCTGATGAGCGCACGGTTGGGTAAATTAGGGGGTATTTAAAATAACCAAAAAAATTTGACGGCTGTGTGCACGTAGTTTAGATTAAAAAGGAAAGACTTGTATTTCGTGCAAATTTTTTAAATATTAAATGCAAAGTGCTTTCGGCATGGTGCCATCATCAGTGCTTATCTACAAAAATTGTGGGTGTGAACTTACAATCTATAAATATGTCTGAAAATAAAATCTGAGTAAGACTTTCAAGTCAAAAGTTAAAAATATATATATACAGGGTGTTAAAAAAAAGTGTCACAAAATAAAACGGGGGGTAGTATGGGCCAAAATATGCAGAAAAGTCTTAATAAACACATGTCCGCAAATAATTGGTTTCAGAGATGAGGAGTGTTTTGTGTTTTGTATCATTTTTTGATTATCTTTTTTCATTCTCAAAAACTTGCTTTTCTTATCGAAGTCTACCGATGTTTTTTCATAGATACTATTTGCAGTTATTATTTTGTTGTGGGTGAATAATTTTATAAATTTTCGTTATGCCTATTTACACTAATATTGAATTAGCTGACATGCATTTTATGTACGGTCGTGCAAATGGCAATGCATTGAAACGGAGGGAGGGCACTTTGAACATCTCATTTAACTCTATGTTGTTATTGATTGTTTATAAATATCATTGTTTTTTTATAATAATAAAAAATTGTTATAAACACAAAATGGTATATATATAAGGTAATTTTGAACAATTTAACAATTAAAAGAAACCAAACAGAGTGACATAACCCAGTGTTGGGAATAGTAATTGTGGGATAAGCCCCTAAAAAATCATATATGATCTCCAGAAGCAAGTTAGCTTATGTGGAACTAAGGAATTATACCACATTCACTATTCGCATTGAGTACAATTGAAAACAAGTTAACAAATTAATTAAAAAAATTTTGAAAAATTTACAAATAGGACTGTGGAAAAATATATTGAAACTTAAATTTAGAATACATTAGTTAATATGAAAAAGGTTAAAGACAGAAGGCCAAAAAAACTGAAGTTTTTTTTTTCTATATTTATATCATAATTGTATAAAAGTCTACCTACTGTCCACAAACAACCATATCCACCAAGTTCTTTGTCATCCTTACTCCAAAATATAATTATTTCTGGATATTCACAACTTGCTAAATCATTATTATTATTATTATTTAGGGGGTAATAAATTTTTTTCGTTGACTAAGGCCAATTAAAGGGGTGAATTTCAATTTAAATTTTTATGATGCCATTAAGTATAATTTGTTTTATTTTCGTTTTGAACGTAGATGCAGATTTTTTGGTACTAAATTATTGTATTTTCCAAAAGTATGTGATAATAAACCTTGCAAGGTAAATGTTTTATGGCGAGGTATTTCTAGGTATATAATTTCGTTGCCTTATAATTATATTATACCGGGTGTCCGCGCGAAAACTTTAAATGGAATTATTTCTGGTGTTTTAAAATATATCGACTTGAAATTTTGGAAGGTCATTAAGGAAGTAGGGGGTAAATTAATAGTGTATAAGATACCACTTCAACGTGATATCTGCCGCCCCCAGCCACCCCCGGTTCAAAAGTTTAAATGACACCCTGTATTTTTTTTTTACATATTCTGAAAGAGCGTAGTTTTTTTAGTATCTCTATGTGAAAAAGTTACTTAATTACATAATGAACTTTGAAAGATATTTACAGCTAAAGGTTCAGATACCAGATATTAAAAAAAAGAACTAGTAACCTTGTACAGTAGACAAATTTCGAAATAATTAAAGCAGATAGAAACAAAAAAATCTAATTATCCAAAAAAATATAACTTATCACAAAAAAATACAACTTATCACAAAAAAATACAACTTATCAAAAAAATAGGTATTCTTATAGACCAACAAAATTTCGCTTTATAAACTAAAGTAAGGACTCTTTTTATTTTTTTAGTTAAATAAAATGTTCACCGTTTACATTGAAACAATAGTACAGTCTATTCTCGAAAGCGTTCCGAATATTTTCAAAGACATGTGGTGTTAAATCTCTACATTCCTCTATGATTCTATTACGCAAATCATCAATGGATTGTGGTGGTGTCCTGTAAACAACAGACTTCAAATATCCCCATAAAAAGAAATCCAGTGGGGTCAAGTCTGGGGAGCGAGCTGGTCATTCAATAGGACCACTACGACCTATCCATTGTCCTGGAAAAACGGTATTTAAATATTGCCATACTTCTAAACAGTAATGAGGGGGAGCTCCGTCTTGCTGAAAGTATAACTGATCCTCCTGCATTTGATCTAAGTTTTCTTCCAAGCACTGAATGATAAGAGGATGTATTAATTCTTCTAAAAACTCGAGATATCTAGGCCCAGTTAAATTCTCGTGATAGAAAATTGGACCAATTATTTGGTTATTTAGAATTCCAGCCCATACATTATTTTTTTGGGGACGTTGCGTATGGCCTTCTCGGAAAACGTGGGGATTAACATCTCTCCAATATCGACAATTGTGTCTATTTACGAAACCATTTAAGGAAAAGCAACTTTCGTCACTGAAACAAATATTTCGCAAAATATTTCTATTTTGCCGAATCATGCCTGTCATAGTTTCACAAAATTGGACTCTTCTATCGAAGTCATCGTCGCCCAACTCTTGATGAAGCTGTATTTTATAAGGATGCATTTTATTTAATTTTAATATTTTATGGCACGTTGTTTTTGCCACTCCCGAAGCTTCTGATAATTTTCTAACTGAAAGCTGTGGGTCTAAATTTACGTGACCAAGAACTGCAACTTGCGTTGCTTTATCTCGTGCTCCACGATTATTCATATCACGTTTTTTATTATTTACCGATCCAGTTTCAAAAAATTTTTGTATTAGATTAATTACATAAACAGCAGATACATTTTTGTTGGGATGGTTTTCGTTAAATAATGCTGCCGTCCGCGAATAGTTTCTTTTTGCAATCCCATATAAAATCACAATTTCAGTTCTTTCTTCCAAACTGTAAACCATTTTTCTATTTTTTTAGCTATTTAATTTAAACTAAGTCAAATTTTTTCGAAAACTTTTGTACTAACGAGTAAACAGAAGTGTCACAAACAATATTATTTGACAGTTCAAGCAACGAAGCAGCTTTCATGGCTTGCTATTATTTTTTGCTTTCGATATTTGAATATCTGGTATCTGAACCTTTAGCTGTAAATATCTTTCAAAGTTAATTATTTAATTAAGTAATTTTTTCACATAGAGATACTAAAAAAACTACGCTCTTTCAGAATATGTAAAAAAAAATTCAGGGTGTCATTTAAACTTTTGAACCGGGAGTGGCTGGGGGCGGCAGATATCACGTTGGAGTGGTATATTATACACTATTAATTTACTCCCTACTTCCTTAATGACCTTCCAAAATTTCAAGTCGATATATTTTAAAACACCAGAAATAATTCCATTTAAAGTTTTCGCGCGGACACCCGGTATATGTCGGATATATAGGTAATTTTATTGTACAAGTAGGGAGGGGGTTCTGGATTTTATTAGTTTGTGTATAAAGGTACATAAATGAAAGTTGCTGATTTGCCTTAGATTTAACCAGTTTAGCTCTTTTAATTTGTTTGAAATGTGATTAAATATACGGAGGCCGAAGATTAGCCTTGTACAGGTATTCCGTATTTTCTGTAGTCGGTTGTGGTCCATTATACTCAAGCAAGGACCATACACAATATCAGCATAATTGAGATGTGAATGTACTAGAGTTTGACATAGCATCTTTCGTATTTAAAGTGTTAGAATTTCTTTCTTTTCATAAATTAACCTGATGTTGCTAAGCGCTTTCTTTGTGATATTATTTATATGCGTGCTAAACTTTAATGAGCTATCAATAAATAAACCTAGATTCTTTGTCACTTTCAATATTGGCACTTCTTCATCTTTGATCTTAATTTTTATGTTGGGAAAAAATCATAATCGTGTCACAGCGCATCCAAAAACTATCATCACTCTACTTTTAGTTGGATTTACGCTAAGGCAATACTGCTCTGAAATATGTATTAGATTTGATAATTCGTTATTTATCTTATAGATCGATGATACCAATTCTGAAGGATGAAATGAATGATAAGTTTGGGTATCATCTGCGTCTTTATATCACGAAGTAACGATAGTGAAAAAAGTGGTCCCGTATGATGGAGCTTTGCCGTATTCCAGATGTAGTATTTACTTAATAAATTATTTTTATACTCGACCCGTTGAATTCTAAGCTTTAATAGACCGTCAGATAGTGACTGATTTAAATACCCTATTTTCGCATACAAACCTCGAAGAAGGTTGAAAAGGACATCGATGTTATGTAGAATGAAAGGAAATTTACGAGTGGCCCCTGGGGATAACATATGGAAAATTCGATTTTCCTTAACATAAATAAAAGGTATTTTTTGCTCATATTTCCACGCAAGCCGTGATCACTGAATGAATAATTCATAGAAAGTGGCTTCGGAAAACCAAAGGCTGCAATTGGCTAAAGGATTGAAATAAGGGCATAATTTTGTAAAGAAAAATCGATATTTTAACATATTTTTTTACACATTTTTTTACACAAGCCCATCGCAAGTATAAAAACATACATCGTCACTGGGTTAAAAAGCAAATTGGCTTGAATAGCGCCAATAGATAGGTGCATTTCGAACTTGAAAAAATTGACGCAATTTTTTTGATTTTTGAGTTATTTTTTCATGCAAGCCATTGTAACCATAGAATTTTACTAATGTATTAGACGTAATAATAAAATTGGCATGAGTATCGGATGTGGACGGAACGAAGGCTTGCGTTGAAAAGTTGCAGGAAAATTGTATGGAAAATTCCACAATTGTATGGAAAATTCCACCATTGTCTCACGCTAGCCGTTTGTCATATGCAAATAAAAATATAGAAAACAAGTATAAAAAAACCAGCAAATATAAAAAATAACAAAACATTAAAAAAATACATTATTTCACTATTACTAATTAAACTGTATGTGTGACCACTCATGGGAGATCAAAAAAAGGAGTGATCACAAACACAGAAAACTAGTTTATACACATACACTATACTGGATATTTAAAACACATTTTTATAATTTTAGGATACAATATTTTTTATTACATTTATTGAACAATTAAAAATATCAAAATATTATCAATTTGTTAACCTCAACTATCTCATTATTTTTTTTTATTTATTATTAATTTGTTTATCTCATTTTGACTTTCTTATTAATTTTTGTGTTTGTTTCTTAAACTTTATTAAAAATGTTATTGTACATTTGGTTGGAATTTCATTAATTTCTACTTTATGATTTTTAGTAGATAACTTAGTTACCGATAATATGTAACAATATTTTAATAATTCTTTTTTTTTTTTTTTGTGAGTCATCGGCTTTAACTGCTAGGGTTATTTCGCCTCGTGTTATATGTAGGCTTTTTTACTGTTTCCCAGCGCCACTTTAGGAACAGCACTGTTAATTAGAACCCAACAGTGAATGGTCGAGTGAGGAATCCCACCAAGGCATCAGAATTAATTTTAAATAATTAAATTAAATGAAAATATGTCGGCCAATGGTCGGATTCTACAGATTTTTTTTCAAAACTTTTTTACGTGTGTCATAAGTAAAAATGTAAATCATATTTCCTATGATCTCTAAAACAGTTATCATATCTGTATAATAATTACAAAAACTATAATAACAATGTAATTTTATTTTAGGTCTATTTCATAAAGGTCTTTCTCAAAGTGGCACCGTCATTCAGAATTGGGCGTTGGTGAAACACCCTCTATCCAAAGCACAAACGGTAGCCAGGAACTTGCACTGTCCTACAAATTCGACAAAAGAAATGGTAGCATGTTTAAAAAAAACTGACGCTAAAAAAGTGATACTGTCGATGACGAAACTATACAATTATTTTGAAAGTATACCCTTCGTGATTTTTGGTCCAGTTATAGAAAAGGGGAACAACCCATTTTTACCTGAACATCCTTACAAAATGTTGAAAGATGGAAATGTGTACGACCTGCCGTGGATTGCGGCTAATGTTAAGGACGAAGGACTCTTTCCCACTGCCTGTAGGTATTTGCATGACGATTGACACAAAAGTTCCTAGGTTGTTAACTAGAGCGTTATTTTTATTTTTAATTAAAAATTTGATTTTCTATCTTTCGAAATGTAGGTGTAGTATATTTTTGTTTAATTCCCTATTTCTTTAATTTTATTAATTTACTGACATTCGATGCAATGGTCAAACCCCAAAGCAGAATAATATAAATAATTAATTAATTTGCATGGCCCATTATAGAATTTGATCGGTTGCGTGTAAGGAGTAATATAATTTTTGTTGAAAAGACGTCCAGAGTAATCCGAGTAAGTTACGGTGTCGATATTATCATTATTAAGAATAAAAATGATGACTGAGTAGAAAGTAGAAAGCCTCGTTACCATTGGTCCGAATAAAATAGAGCAAACAGCATGCAAGCAAAAATGTCATTTAGATGTCTTTCACAATAATAAACATACATAGTAATAATGCTAAAGTCTATATCTTCATTTGTATTGGTTTGATTCGAACGAAACAAACGACATTCAACATAAAATGTCACATGTAATTCACAATAAAAAAACATGCGCATAAATATTGCCAAAAGGACTTAAGTCTATTTTTATTAGTATTGGTTATGAAGACTAGAGAGATGGAGGCGAATCGGCAATGATCAAATTTCAAATTTCCGTCCTTCTTTTTATAAAGTTCGCCAAATTGACTGTAGTTGGCATGTCAAATAACAGCGGTGTCAATTTTCTATGTAAGTCAATGTAAAATGAAGTGATTTTTTAAAAAATGGGTGTAAAGGATCAAAATAATGTGAAAAAAAGTACCTGAGTACAAGTAACATGAGTGACAAAAACATCAAAGCAAGATTTACATCGTTATAGATTGTAAAATAGGATACAAATAAAACGTAAAACTAAAAAAACAAAGAGAAATCAATTAAATGTCTTTTTACAGCTTCCAATGTAAGTAAAATAATGTATTTATGTCTAAATATAATATTTATTGTAAACTATTCACAACATGTATCTTACGGAATGTAGTTTATTTTATTACAAGTTTCTATAATATTAAATTTTACAGTCATAGATCCTGACTCACAAACAACAATAATTATACATTAAATTTAACTTATTAGAAAAGAAACTTTATTTTTTATAGAGTTTTAATGTTAGATAAAGAGTTGTTACTATTATCTATTTTGTTGAATCCCAACTGTAAATGTTTTTTATAGGATGCCAAACGCTTAGAACAATGGCAGCATATATATCGTTCCTAGTGCCGATAAAGCACTTTCTAGAGATGATCCTGTTCTTTACTTTTTAGAAGATATGAAACTATTTTCACTGATGGCAAAATAAAAAGGGGAAAGCTGAAATTAAAGGATGAGGTAATACCATGAACATTCCCAAATCTCCCTTTATATTTGTATTACAACAATAAAAAATATGTTAACTGTGTTTTATTTTGCTCTTAAAACTATATATAGGTTCAATTCCAAAAAAATTTGCCACAAAATTGTACTTATCAAATTTCAGCATTTAACAAACCTTCTTGAATTTGGTCATACCTACCTAATTTGTATTTTATATAGATAAAATTAAATAATTTATCAATTAAAACATGCAAGACTTATTTTGAAATAAATACAACAGTATGTTCTGTGCTTAATTTAGCTATAAACAAGTTTATTTTTATTATTTTGACAAAATTATGTATAATTCTCATAATTTTGAACACCGTATGCAGTACTAGCGCCCATGCGGTTAATTATGAAAGCTCAATTAGCGTGCGTTTTTTGGGACCGTATTTTGAGTATGCCGATTCGCCTTCTTATCTCTAGTCTTCATAGTATTGGTTTAATTCATTAAGGTAGAATAAAGATGAGATGCATTACACTTTTACGTTATGGGTCAAATTCCAGCTAGTGAAACTAGTCAGTATTTGTGAGAATAACTGCCATATTTTATCAAATAGCTTTATTTAAATTACATAAAACCATTTTCATTTCGTCATTCTTTAAATATAAAATTATCTATTTTAAAGAAATTAAAGTACGACTCTCGTTTGATTACATTTTTCTGACAGTCTTGGCATTGCTAAGTGCGTCCGTTTGTCATATTGCAACATCCAGAAATTTCCTGGCCCCTTACTGCAGGTCTTGAAGTATCGCAAAACTCTGTTTCACACTTCATAAATTTTATTGTAGACTCAAATCTTGAACAACTTATAAACGAACCTACCCGCTTTCGCTTAAATCAAGAACCTTCAACTCTGGACCTTATATTAACAAATGACGACCAACTTCTAATTTCTCCATCTGTCCACTCACCTATTGGGAAATCTGACCATGGCGTTATTATATTTAACATGCAATTTAACATAGAAACCCCTAATTCCCATAAGGACGTAACCTATAGTGTCACAAAATTTAATAACGTAAAGAGAGTCCTCTCCGAAATTGATTGGGATCACTTTTTTAGAAGTACTGTATTAGTAGAAGATATGTGGACACTATTTCATACAAAGATATCTGAAATTGTAAAGGCTAACACAAAAAACAAAAAATGTCCTCAGAACAAATTAAAACCCTGGATCAATGGACAACTTTTAACTTTAATTAAACATAAGAAAAATATGTGGAAAAAATTTAAAGCTACCAAAAGACATGATGATTTTGTTAACCATCGACGTTTCGCAAACGATTTAATCAATATTATTGATTACGCAAGAAGAGAATACGAAGAATATATCGCTAGTAGCGATAACCCTAAGAAGCTATTTAAACACATAAGATGCTCTCTATCTTCTAAAGTATCAGTACCACTTCTTAAAAAAACGGATGGAAACTTATGTAATAATGATCAAGAAACAGCTGAAGCTCTGGCCAACCATTTTTCCTTAGAACCCACAGGCGACATTCCAGTTAGTCACGATGCCCGAACAGCAACTTCTTTATGTAATGTCGAGTTCTCATCTGCAATTGTTAATGAAAATCTCAAAAAAATCAAATCAAATTCCTCACCTGGAATAGACAATTTATCCGCAATGCTTTTAAAAGAATGCGCATCATATTTGGCTTTACCTCTATCCATTATTATGACATCTTCTTTTACATCTCACACACTTCCTTCAATGTGGAAAATTGCTTCGGTGACACCTATTTTTAAAAAGGGTGACAAACTCAGTCCATCCAACTATCGTCCAATAAGCCTCGTCCCAATCGCTTGTAAAATAATGGAATCCATCTTAACCAATTATATGTCTGATTTTTTTAAGAGCTATGACGTCTTGCCAAAAGAACAACACGGTTTTATTAAAGGCCGATCCACATTAACAAACCTAATGACCTGTTTAAACGATTGGACTACGTCTGTGGACAATAAAGAGCCTGTCGATGTCGTATATCTTGATTTCGCTAAAGCCTTTGATCGTGTTCCCAAAAAGAGATTGCTTTATAAATTGGAAAAAGCTGGCATTCGCGGCTCTTTACTTCTCTGGATAAGTGATTTTTTGTCAAATCGCATCTTCAAGGTAAAAGTTGGACAGATGTTCTCGTCAGAGTATCCAGTTCTAAGTGGTGTCCCTCAAGGCTCTGTCATAGGGCCATTACTATTCCTGGTATACGCTGCAGATCTAGGCAAAGACTGAAATTCTAATATTTCGTGTTACGCTGATGACACTAAGCTATACTGTAATCCTGTGACAGATTCTACCCAGCTACAAAAAGACCTTGAAACTATTTCAAACTGGTGTGACACCTGGCTGCTTCCTTTAAACTCGGAAAAATGTGTCGTCCTGCATATAGGAAAAAATAACCCGTGCGTGAACTATTATTTAAACGGTAGTGCGTTAGCAACTGTGAACTCCTATAACGACCTGGGACTCATTGTAAACTCTTCATTAACGTGGTCAGAACACATATCAGCGGTATGTAAACGTTCGAACTCAATGATCTACCTATTAAAAAAGTCCTTTACGCGTGTGAACTTTCAAACATTTTCTAAACTTTATACAACTTACGTTAGACCGTTGATGGAATATGTCGGACCTGCGTGGTGTCCTGATTTGGTTTCTGATCAAAAAAGATTGGAAAATGTTCAACGCTACGCTACTCGAATACCTTTCGGCAGAATCAGACCATCGTATGAAGAACGGCTTAACATGGCGAATTTGTGTTCATTTGCCCACAGAAGATTAAGGGGTGATTTAATTGTGACATACAGAATTCTTCATGGTACTTTTTCATCAAACCTCTATAGTATACTCCCACGGAATACAGATGAGCGCCTCCGTGGACATGAATACAAGTTGAGCAAAGAATATTTTAAAACACGTACCCGAGAAAACTTTTTTTGTAATAGAGTTTTTTATACTTGGAATAATTTACCCTCGAGTGTTGTTCGCGCACAGTCAGTAAATGTATTCAAAAACCGACTCGATGACTTTTTTAACGAAAACTAAAAGTTTATTTTTAGTGCTTTGTTTGCATTATGTTATTTGCTAATTACTTATTTAATAATTGTCTTTGTTATTGAACTTGTAATTTTGGGCTTAATAGGATTCATTCCTCAGCCCTAATTAGTTTGTAATAATAATAATAATAGTGTTTATGTCGTCTCTACTTCATTCTATCTCGTTGGTTTATTCGAATGAAATAAACAGCATTCAATATAAAATATGAGTTAGATGTCATTTACAATAAGAAACTCCAAACGCAGAAATATCGCCGAAAAACCTAAGTTTATATTTCTCTTAATATTTGTTTAATTTAAATGCAACGAACGGCGTTCGAAGTAAAATATCAGTTAGATGTCATTTACAATAAAAAAGAACATGGGCAGAAAAATTGCCAAAGGAAACTATTTGAAACCGCGAAAAATCTATAAAACAGGAATAAATTGCATTTAAACCAAAAACGAATTCCTAATACAAAATTAAGATTCCGCATCTTATCCAAAACTATATAAGCAACTGGATATTTTTAATAAAATTATACGCCTTTTATTCACCGATTTAAAC